CTATAGGTCAACAGACAAACAACATTTCACATACCAATCAGTATCAACTACACTGCCACCTATAGAGCACTCAGCAGATCTCCAGTGCACTTGCATTTTGCAACTCCAGGTTCACTTGCCATTCAATAAGGCATACAACAATTCACATAGCAAGCAGTATATCAATATCTGTTATAAATACACATATTATTACACAGTAGCACACGCATCTGTATATACGTAACTGGTAATATGGTTCACATACATACGACACTTAATGGGTTAAGATTGATACATATTTAACCAGTATGGATATGATGTTTAATATTTACATATCACGGCACTTTACTTTCACATATACTGTATGTTTTAAGATAAGCTTGGTCTATGTCATATTTCCTTATGCCATACGATTTTATCCATTCAGGTTATAGTTACTACTAAAAAACCTATACGGATTGTCAGGTTCAATACCATACTACCAGGTACGTACACCTGCTCATGTAGTTATCCATCTCTTACCTTCCCTGGAATAGTAATAGTGTACCGGCAATTAGGGTTCTAGGGCCCAATAGGTATTACCCCCTTTTTTCTCTGCATTATGCTTCGGTTAGTGGTCCCGCGAGGCCAACACCCCGCCTCACACTCGGAGGCATACACCCCTCGGGCCACTCGTGAGCTAGCCGCCTCGCATTGTATCATAGAGAGGGCCTCACCTGTCACTCCCCTTCCTATTTTCTGGTTACTGTCACCGAGAGGCCAACATCCTGCCACAACGTTCGGTGGCCACAAAAAATCCCCTCGCGCCAAGCATAGATAGAGCCTCTCAAGCCACTTGGCAACTAGCAGGGCCTCACCAGTCACCAAAAAACACCAAGCCTAATCGTTTCGCCTTACGGCTTAGCTAGCAAGCCAGTACAAGACCCCTGGGTACAAATAATAATTGCAATCTTTATTGTTATTTAAGTATTTCTCAAAAAGATGGTGAAGAATCACCTCTTCCTGGCACCCTGGCTATAAGTGATACACCTTCAAGCAGAGGAGATGTGGCTCCGACCTAAGGAGGCGCAAATCCCCTACCCTGCCACAGCAAGGAAAGCAGAGTTATTCAAACTCCTCCATACATCAACGGAGGCCCAGCAACACCAACTCAGGTGACACCCAGGCCATGCTAGCCTCACTCATAAAATCATAAGCCAAAAAATTTACGACAGACTGGCAATCTTGAGTCAGTCACAGCCCTCACAAGGCTGGGCCTCACGCTACTGTACAACCAGCACCAACCGAAACTCGGTTACTTGGTACAAGACGTTAACCCTGCACATATGATCCCGGCACATTGGGAACACAAGGCATATATATGTATGATGATGTATCTATGATGGTCAGACCCAGGGATTCTAGGTAAATCGGGAACTGACCATCCCTTGGTTGTGTTGGCATTTGGAATATGTAGAGATGCTTATTTGTGCAGGTACCCATACAGAAGGGATTTTCTCCCAAACAAACGGGCGAGCACTCTCAGGCTCCAGGTACCAGCACCTCTGAACTACCAGAGACAATTGGTATTAGTAGTTGCATTGCATATAGACTGTTGCATATATGTTCAAATCATTCAGGGCACATGACAAACCATGTGTCCCAATACAACTTACAAATAACGTACTCACCATCTGTACACACCAATGCATTTTCAACACTACTGACTCATCACCCTTCCAGACTTGTAGTAGATTTACTAAGGCTCTGGAGCTTCAAAGGGCTCCCATACAGGTATCATAAATAAACTCTCAAGGAATATACCATGCCCTCACTTAGTCAGCACAACAGAACCGTCGGCTGTAAACACACTCATAGCCAAGATTTGCAGAGGGGTTTTTACTTGGGTTTCCAATCTCCACCATTTACAGCATGGCACCAAACACAAACGCATTGGTATTGTCACAAGGGAATCTTCCCTTAAACAAAGACTAACCATAGACTTATTGGGACCACACACCTTCGCTACCCCAAGTCTCAACTCCCTCATATCCTCCGAGGAGTTTCCTTACTATACACACCATTGATCTACCTTTACAGCTATCACTCAAGCATGGGTTGAAGCTTCGTTAAGTAAGACCAATATCATCAACACAGTAAACGGCTACCATCTACCCTACAAACTGGCACTTACATGGCATAAAATGGGCAATCCTTTCCCCGCTAAAAGCAGCTGCTGTGGCATGGGGTAAATCATGGTCAGGGTCATCAATCCGTTGTTACTCAGACAACTAAGCACATGTCATATCATCAACAAATGCCACTCATCATCCATACGATCATGGTATTGCTGGGGAACTCACTTGGTTGGCCACTTACCACATTTCTTTTACTTTCATGTACCAGGCGGGGGTATACATCCTTGCCGACAATTGTCTCATTTATATTCCAGGCACGTTCATTATACGCTTCCTACAGCCGCCCATACAGTCACGGCCACTCTTTCGTTCCAGAGACAAAATCATGGATTAGACATACTCATGCAGCATAGCATGCACTATCCCACCTAACACTTTCATCCCATACTTGTAGAACGCATAACACCTATTCACCTGGCTTTAAAGAATCTCATTGGAACACGACATAGCTCAACCTGTGTCATAACATTTCTCCTAGGTTTTGCTTCATTTTTTGCCACCTTAAACTAAAACCATCTCACACACCATTAATTATATATTTTACAGGCATTCAACAACACAAGATAACCTATGGCTAAAACTACCATAACTTCATGCTATCATACCAGACAAGAATATACTCAGAGGTTTTCAGGAATCCATCCCCCCCACGTTCCTCTCAGATATTACCAATAGCCATCCAACTTTTCCATCCTTATCGGACCTATTAGAGCTACAACCATTCAATTATACTACCAAGTTGGCCATTACCAGCCATGCACACTGCCTTTTATGCCTTTCTCAGGCCAAAGAATCCACTACCATAACCACCACTCAGACAGATCATTGTCTTCAACGATCCCACGTATGTAAACACATATATCATTACCTATTGGCTCTACCACATTCCGAAACGAGTCAACACGCACCAACAGTAGAGATAACATACTATCCTACCCACAACAAATGGTGTCCAGTTGCGGTCCTAGATTCCTACCTTCAAAATCCTTCAAGGAATTAAATACCGTAATGCATTTAAGGAAATGTCTGGTTAATTTGTATATATTGTTGACTGTATTAAATCTTTGATTATTCTTTTTGCCCTCTTTATTTACAGGCCTACCGTATCGTCGGTCTCGGCACACCACAACCGACTTGCTCCCTTTATACTATCCTACGCTTATGCTGGAACCTTACTCCATATACGGCTATTTGCCCCGAACACAAGTTTTAAGGCCATTTGGCCTGTATTTGTGGGAGGGGCTTAAATTAATTCACTCCCCTATATAAGGGACACCCCTTACCTGACTCATATTGCTTGAGGTCAGCATCAGAATGACCCTCCCACCCACTCCTCATTTCAACACTTTCTCTTTTCTTTCCATTTACTTTACTTACTTACTCCTTGGTGGGCCCTCTTTATTTACAGGCCTACCGTATCGTCGGTCTCGGCACACCACAACCGACTTGCTCCCTTTATACTATCCTACGCTTATGCTGGAACCTTATTTCATATACGGCTATTTGCCCCGAACACAAACTTTATTAATTAACAGAGACTTAATCAATAAGGAATAACAGCTTAATGAAACAGCTTAATATTCAGCTTAAAGAAACAGCTTAAGTATACATCACCATAAGAGAGGCTTGCTGCACTCAACTGAGAGAACTTCTGGCAGTCAGGCTTGAAGAGGACCCTCTCTTATTGGGATTCAGCAGAACCAACAATACGCTTTCGTATTACAGATGGGTAGTACTCCAATGAGTGCCAAATTTTCTCATTTTTGTAAATTTTTTTATTTATATTTTATTGTAGCACATAGAAACCATACAAACTGTGGAAGGCATATCATATGTCAAGTCATATCAAGTGATATATAAAATCAGGGCCAGTACAAACCTTTATCTGGAAATCTATTCATAAACAGGGCTATACATAGGACACAAGGTCATATATTTAGGCTGGAAGAAAGGAGAACAATAAGGATATGGAATTCTCTGCCTGAAGAGGTGGTTTTGTCAGAGTCCATACAGATGTTTAAACTGCAATTGGATAAATACTTACAAAAACATAACATACAGGGATATAATTTCTAATTAGTGGGCTAATAGCTGCTTGATCCAATGAGACATCTGACTGCTATTTTTGGGGTCAAGAAGGAATTTTTCCTAGTTTGTGGCAAAATTGGAAGCGCTTCAGACTAGGTTTTTTGCCTTCTTTTGTATCAACAGCAACAACATTTGTGAGGAAGGCTGAACTTGATGGACGCAAGTCTCTTTTCAGCTATGTAACTATATAACTATGTAAAATACAATGCTGTGAGGCTGTCATAAGTCTAGTTCTTTTCATTTTAACATTGCACTTCTTAGTACGAGTAGCCTATACTCTAAGGTAGTTTGCTTGCAATGGGGAGGGAGAGAGAAGGTTGAGTTGCTGGTGGGAGCAATTATGGAGGAACACTATTTAGCAAGAACAAGTAACATTGAAATAGGTTGTATTAAACTAGTGACACTCTATATTAATGGTGTGAATGTCCGAGAGTTGGTTAGAAGGACCGTCCCTGTACCGGAGACGAATCTCATGTGCCGACCAGGTTCGATTCCACTGCTGCGGTTCTGGCTTTCGGGTAGAAGGGTTGGACATTCCTATGTTCCCACATCTGGGTCGATGGTTGGGGGTCCGCACCTGGAGTGTGTGCCTGCAGGGCCTCTGGGGTAGGCAGTCCCAGTGTCCTGAAGAATTTCCCTGCATCCGAATGGTGCTATAGCTGTACTCTCTACCCTTCGTTGAGCACTGTAAGCTTGCGGCCAGGACCCCAGGACCATGATGGATCACATGAGATCGTTAAAGAAGGTAAGGTCGGCTCATTTGAAATGGTAGGAAGGAGCATCGCTGGTGGCTGCTTGTATTATCTGCTTACTGAGCATCGATTGAAAGCATATTAGCAAGTCCCTGGGAACCCCATCCGGGGCTTTAGCTGGTTTTGAGATCCTGAAGTAGTTGTCCAGCGAGATCGCTTTAGCTTTGGATGGTGTTAGTATGCTGCTTAGCAGGCAGCAGATGTAGTGAGGCATTTCACAGTCCGTAACCTCCTCAGAGAAACTCCCAATCTTGAGGTTGCGGTGTCTCTTGGAGTCTTCCAGCACTGCTATTCTGCCCTCCATGAGGAAATTTGCTTGCTTGAGCTTCTCCAGCTCGGACTGCTGAGCATCTTGCCGCCATTGTGCAATGTCATCAGAGTCTTGCAGTGATAGCAGTCGAGCAGTGATTACCCCCAAGTCCTTTCGGACTAATGCAATGTCTGCAGCAAATAGGGTTTTCATTTCCCTAAGCAGGTTTTGCATATCAGCTTTGCTCGCTGGCGTTTGTTCCAGGCTGAGAGTGGATCTTGCCTGTCACCCTTCAGGTGGGTGCTGAGGATCAAGGTGAGCCCGTGTTGTACCCTGCATGGTGGGGTGTGAGGCTTCTGTTTCACTTTCTTCCGAAGCGGTTGTGGAGTCACTCTGAGCAGTATGCCGATATCTTGGGAAGAGGAGGTCATATTGATTCTACCTTGTTTAGTTTTCTTCCCCAGTGTCTGGCTGTCTGTTGGGTGATAGTCGGGCAATTTCCTCCGTTATATCGTTGTTATTATCAGTGTTCTCGCCGGAGCTCAAAGCATGTGCGTCTGCCTTGTTCGCTGGCTAGCTCTGCCCCCCCACCCCATTTTCTCGTCTTTTATAACAAACTTAATAATCAATGGGATGAATAGTCTGTACTTTTCCATCAAATCTTCTATCAGTGCAGCCCAGCAAAGACCTTGCAAAAGCGTTGGATGGGACCTGCAGCTGGCCAGGCTGTCCAGCCACACCAACAATGCCATGCCAGATCTGTGCGGTAAATTATCTCTTATCTAAAAGCTAGCTATGTTCTCATAATATTCTCGTGAAGCTATGCATGAGTCATTCTGGTGCTGTGTTTTGTGGTTATTAACATTTTCAGTACTGTGTATCGGCGCCATCTTAACTATCAAGTGATCAATCATTCTTAATTAATATGGAATATGATAATCACACCAGCAGATTTTGGTTTTGATTCTTGACGCCAAATGATATTTCTACCCATAGTTTTTTATTGGAGTTGAAATGATACCCCAGTGATTTTCCAAGACTTTAACAAGTGTCGCTGAATGTTTAAAACGCTTCCATACTCTGTGTTTTTGTTATATAGTAATGGTGAGAATCCATCAGGATTCTTCTGACACTTTGTCATGAAGCAGAAAAAAATAGTTTTGTACAGATTGAGAAAAAGCAAAATAAAATAAAAAACATTCAGTTTCAGATTTCTTACATTATGTTTTGCCCTTTACAAATTCATTTTCTGACTCCTATAAAATGTACTTTATTATTGTAGAATTTAGCACTGACCTTTTCCTGATATGCTATTTAGAGACAAGCAAAACTTGAAAAAAACAACATCAAATCTTTTATAAAAAGCAGTTTTTTAGTAAAAGTAATGGACATAGCCTTGCCAATGACAAACAACATATATTTTCTTAACCCCTTAACGCCATTATGGCGTTCTATGCCGTCGCGGCTTTAAAGGGCTTTAAAGCTGTTGCGGCGGCATAGAACGCCGTAACGGCTGCAGCCCCCAGGACCTCGGCGGTACTTACCTCCGCTGTGATCCTCTGCTGGAGGGCTGCATGACAGCCCAGGCAGCCCTCCTCCGGCAAGTGAGGCCCCCGGGGGCCATGTGATCACTCTGATAACTGCAAATATATATATATAATTACATAAAAGATTACATTAGTATACACGTAGAATTTAAATACCTATAAATGCATATATATTAAAATTCTACGTGTATATTTAAGTAATCTTTTAACATAATTATGTGATTAGATTAATTAAAATTTGATTGACATGCCTCACAACACAGGGAGAAAGTGCAGAGAATTTAATTCTCAAGCACTATATTTGACCCTGTAACTCTCCAAGACACCATAAAACCTGTACATACGGGGTACTGTTTTACTTGGGAGACTTCGCTGAAGTCAAATATTAGTGTTTAAAACTGGTAAATTGTATTAAAACGATGATATTTTAAGTAAAAGTGACATTTTTTACATTTTTTACAAACAAACGGCACTTTTATATGACTATATTATTGTTGTAATATGTTTTACTGTTTTAAAACACTAATATTTGTGTTTAGTGAAGTCTCCCGAGAATAACAGTACCCCCCCATGTACAGGTTTTATGGTGTTTTGGAAAGTTAGAGAGTCACATATAAGGCTTGCATTTCATTTTTTTGACATTTAAATTTGCCAGATTGGTTATGTTGCCTTTGAGACCGTATGGTAGCCCAGGAATAAGAATTACCCCATGATGGCATACCATTTTCAAAAGTAGACAACCCAAGGTATTGCAAATGGGGTATGTCCAGTCATTTTTAGTAGCCACTTAGTCACAAACACTGTCCAAATATTAGTTTTTTGCCTTTTTGACACAAAAACAAATATGAACGCTAACTTTGGCCAGTGTTTGTGACTAAGTGGCTACTAAAAAAGACTAAACATACCCCACGTTCAATACCTTGGGTTGTCTACTTTTTCAAATGGTATGCCATTATGGGGGTAATTCTCATTCCTGGGCTACCACACCGTCTCAAAGGTAACATTACTAATCTGGCAAATTTCAATTTGAAAATGGAACGTTCTATATTTGACCCTGTAACTTTCCAAAACACCATAAAACCTGTCAATGGGGTACTGTTGTACTCGTGAGACATCGCTGATTACAAATATGTGCATTTTTCTGCAGTAAAGCTTAACAGTATTATGACATTTACAGCTAAAACGTGAGGCGGAACTACAAAAAATTTTTTTACAAAAATTGACATTTCTCACAGTTTTTTACATTTTATTCATAATAAATTATGTTTCATATATAAATATTTGATATGAAATGAAAGCCCTGTTTCTCCTGAACAAAATGATATATAATAAGTGTGGGTGTATTTAATATGAAAGAGTTGAATAACGGTTGGACAGACATATAGCGCAAATTCCAGTTTTTGTTTACGTTTTGTTTCGATCAGAACGTGTACTATTGACTCCGTCTTGAAGGGGTTAAATACTTTAGGAGCAAACAAGATTTGTTTTGTGTTTTAATGTAAATGTATTGTATGGTTTTCTCAAAAATTACATTTTGAAATGTATTATTAATAATTAACTTTAGATTATAATTATGGAAGGGATTTTATATAGTAATACCAGTTCATCAAGATTGATGACATCAGATTTCAAATTATACATTTCTCATAATGTATATATTTATTGTAAACGTTAACCGTTTCACTATCAATGGAGTGGATTCCTAGACTTGGCATAATTTTCTAATATTAAAATAAAACATAAGCAAACTTAAACTTTCTTGTCAGTCCAGCACAGTTCCTTAAGCTACTACCAAACAAAAATGTTGCCTCGAAGATGATAATGTCACTGGCGTGCTCACACATAGACTGCGATGATGTCATGTTAGTGTTACTGGAGCAGCCGGCTTAGAAAGAGGTTGTGATTTTTCACAAATACTGTATTTACTATATGAAATATAAAGATTGATAATTTGTTGTCATTCGTACGGACTCGTGATTTTACATATTGTGCTCAGGCTGTGCGGATCCACATTGTCAAAAATACAAACAAATTACTTATGAATACCCAAGAGCAGGGCGTCTCAGTATTATTCACTAGTAATACAGTGACACCTACAGCACACTCTAAATGTGAAAATGATCTTACTACAATATATATCCTGGTAGAAGCATTTGGATATAAGGGATACTGTATGGTCTGTAATATTTTATATATCTAATATTTTGACAATATATGAATTAATTAATAATAATTATTATTATTTATGAAGCGACAACAAGTTCTGTAGCGCTGTACAATGGGTGGACTAACAGATACGTATTTGTAACCAGACAAGTTTGACGCACAGGAACAGAGGGATTGGGGCCCCTGCTCAATGAGCTTACATGCTAGAGAGAGTGGGGTAAAATGACACAAAGGTAGAGTAGAAAAGTAGGTTGCTAGGATAGTATTCATTGAGGGCTTAGTGTTTTGTTTTGATGACAGTATCAGGAGAGAAATCAGGGTGCGCGGAGGGAAAGCTGTTCACAGTTTAATAGATATGCTTTCCTAAAGAAGTAAGTTTTCAAAAATCTTTTGAAGGAGTGGAGATTGGGTAAAGATCTATCAGAGAGGGGAAGGGCGCTCCAAAAGAATAGTGCAGCCCTAGAGAAGTCTTTAAGATGAGCATCATCATAATAATAATGATGATAATAGTAATAGTGGGTATTTCAAACCCCCACCTAGAGTACATTATTGTTGTTATTAATATTGTTATTATTATTATTATCTTGTAATATAATCAATGGAGTGAAGTGATTAAAAAACACACAATATTTATGGTATCAGAAAATATTTCAATTTGACTTGCATTTATTTTTTTCCAGTTCTATAAATATTCTTTGGAAATAAATGCAGCTTCTTTTATATCTAATCAGTAAAATGACAGAGGATGGACATGAGGGACATGAGTGGGATTGGAGAAACACATGAGAGACAGAAAGCTTGTAGAATCACACGAGAGACAGGAGGGATTGAGAGACACATAAAGGTATGACATAGTGTAATATAGTTAACAACGCACTCCCAGGACAAATTAGAATGCACTCACAGAGAAAGCACAGATAACAACATAAAAGGTTCCTCCCTTTTTAGTGGTTTATTTGCTGCAAAGTTCATGTGGCAAGCAGTATGTTGAACGAACAAAGAGGAAATTAAAAGACAGAATTTTAGAACATTTCAATAACAACAAAAAAAGCTTTCAACAGCACTCTGTCCCTGTCTGTTGCAATAATTGTCCAGCTTTTAGTTTCAAGGATTTTAGATTTATGGGAATAGATAATGTTAGGGGGGGGAGGCTGAAAAAAAATTAGTGCAGAAATAAACTTTAGATACAATGAAACCTAAGAGTTTAAATGTGGATGTCGACGTGGGATGTTTTGTGGAGTAATGTTGTTCTACATGATAGATATTTGATTTATACCTGTTTTGTGTTTTGGGGAAAATGCCATATGCCCTTATCCATATACATAACATTCAACAAAACAATAAAACTTGTAATGAATATCATAATTTACAGTAATTTACGGTAAAGTTTCAAAATAACAGAGCGTTTTGAAAAATAAAAAATTCTGGTTATTTCTACACACTAAAAATAAGTACTAATGTAGTTAGACATTTTATATATATATATATATATATATATATATATATTCACCTTTTTAATCT